GCTACGTCTACACTGGCAGCTTCTTGCACAAGAACTCTCTTGTGGAAGAGTTCTTGTGCAAAAATTCTTCCGCAAGATAAGTTTGGGAATCCTTGTGAGGTTAGACACAATGGCTACGTCTACACTGGCAGCTTCTTGTGCAAAAATTCTTCCAAAAGAGAGCGTCTGCACTGCCATGTGCTTTTGCGCAAGAACGTCCATGACAGTTTAGACACTCTCTTCCACAAGAAAGCTCTGATGGCCATTTTAACCATAGGGGCTTCTTGCGCAAGAAATTCATGTTGCCTGTCTACACTGCCCTCTTGTGGAAGAGCTCTTGCACAAGAGGGCTTATTCCGGAAGAAATCCTGTTTTATGACGCTATACTGTAAATTTACTTCTGGAAGAATGCTCGTGCATTGTAGACAGCCGGCAAGTTTTTGCGGAACAACTACTGTTCTTCCACAAGAAGCTGCCAGTGTAAGCGTAGCCTCAAGAGAATAGAAGAGTCTGAAACTAGAAGAGCTGATGAACCAGGTGAGGGAGGAGAGAGCTTCTGGAAGGGAAAATCTTTAGATGAACCTCAATTGTATGGAGTAGGCTTTGCTATTAAGAACAAGCTCGTAAAGTGCCTCTCTGAGGTGCCAGTAGGCATCAATAAGCAGTTTATGATAGTCTGAGGCTCACCAAAAACCAAGAGGTAACTATTGTGAGTGCCTGTGTGCCAACAGTGGACGCTGATGAGGATGTAAAGGAAGATTTCTATTCTCAGCTGGAAACCATTTTATCAGAGACCCCTAAAGAAGAGAAGAATTTTTTGGGGGGGATTTCAATACGCACGTTAGACAAGACTGATAACTGTGTAAAGGAACAGTTTTCGAAAGAAGGAGCTGGCAAAAGCAACTCAAATGGAATCCTGCTCCTGACCAAGTGTGCTGAACACGAACGTATCATTATGAACACCCTTTCTTGACCAAAAAAAAGTTCAAAACATCTTGGAGAGGCCCATGTTCAAAGCACTGGCATCTTCTTTACTATGTCATAGTTCATGCTCGAGTTTGTAGTGATGTACTTCTCATGAGCAATGACAAGTGCTGATGACTGCTGGCCTGATGATTGCCTCATTTGATCCACAGTGAAAATTAAGATAGCCCCCCAAATGAGGGCTGCAAAAGAAACAGATCAGGTGCAAGCTTGAAGGGTCAAGATCTGAAGGACCCATTAAGCATGACCACTTCCAAGCAGCCTTATAAGAAAAGGTTCCATCAGAGTTTCTGGAGGAAATTGAGGAGCATTGGAGCCAGCTGAAAGCAGCAATCCTCAATACTTGTGAGGAAACAATTGGCTATCATACCAGAAACTATTGGGATTGGTTTGAGAATGATGTTGAAATCAAACAATTCATCAATGAGAAGAAATTGCAATACAAAGAGAGAAGCCCATGCTAAGGTAAAGGCGGAAGTCCAATGTAAAACCAGAGAACTCAAGAACAAATGATGGACCGAGAGAGCACAAGAACTCCAGCACTTTTATGGCTACCCATAATCACGTATTTTTAGTGCTATTAAGGCTGTTTATGGGCATGGCATGAACCCCCTTCGTTCAAAGGATGGAACCACACTTATGAAAGACAAAGCTATTAATTTTCACTGGAAAGAACATTTTGAAGATCTTAATTGTAATTCTACAGTTGCAGATGAATTTCTTGAGCGAATCCACCAATGACCTTCTAGGGATGAGCTTGGAGACCCTCCCAATTTGTATGAGGTATACCAGTGGTCCCCAACGCGGTGCCCGCGGGCACCATGGCACCCACCGGGGCATTTGTGTGCGCCCGCCTAGTCTGCATTAGGCACACCCTAATGCAGGGCCGGACTGGCCTGGCCG